AGTCTCAAAGTGGGTTCCTCATCATCGAAATTGGTTGGTATAGTTCTCTATGTAGGTTCTTTTGTTTTATTGAGTATAAGCTTTTTATATCTTTTGTCACTTTTGGTTGCGGATGTACTATTATAAATGTATGAATGTTTACCACTCATTCTATATAAGATTTCTGAAAATTATTAAAAATCTAAGAATCTCTAATATTGTGTGCCTTTGCTTATGGGGAGAGCATTTAGTCTACTCATTGGTTGCATAGGTATTATTTAGCTTAGGTTGCAAGAATTTGTATCATTGGCAGATTGTACGATGTATTCCATCAATCTATGTACAGCTTGACCCAATCAGAAAGCCTTGTACAGTGGGGAGTCCAACATAATTAGAAATTAGTAAATTTATGAACATGTTTATGACTCACCACTCAGGCTGACAGTGTGTTTATTTTGCACATGTATTTCTGAGTTAGGACTTAAACTAAATTTATGAAACAACCCTTAAAGTAGGTGTCTGGTTGTAATGTCAGTTATTTTTAATTGTGATATCTTGATAGCTTGGCCCCGATGTTATGTGAAACAGGTTGAAACAATGTAAATTGTCAATATGTCTGGAGACTGTTTGGTAAATTAAATTATGGATAACTGTAAATCGAACTTGGCATGACACAAGTGTGTTAAAGTAAATAAATTAGTATTGTGATCAATAACTATAACATTGTAGTTTTAAGTTATAGTTATTTATCACCAACTATACACTAAAAATTCTAAGAAAACGATGAAAAATATGCTTGAAAAATTCTGGAATTATTCTTAAATTTTTTTCTGCTGAAAGTATGGGAATCCTGAGTCACATTCAGATTTTATGTATTAGTAAGCTGTGTGGATATTAGGAACCAACAATTTGGTTCTTATGTGTTTCAGTTGTATGTTATGACATTTTTCATTTTACACTGAAGTTGGTTTCAATAATGTTATTGGGTATAATGTTTTAAATATTATTATTTATTTTTATTATTAACTTTCCTATTTAAAAAGATAATTTTGCATTGTTAGTTTAATAAGTGGATTTTAAAATAAACTAAATTTCCTAAGTCGACTGAATCTCATTAGGACTTATAAGATTTTAGTGAAAAACATTGACATCTAATCAGTATGGGTTTCAGTTTTATGTGTATTGCTGTATGATGTTTAATACAATTTATTTTGTAATTCATTAATTTATGAATTGTATTATGTATATAGTTACCTTACTTTTGATAAAAAAATTGTTAAGAAGTAATTGAACTTTATTATGGAATAATAATTAAGTTTGAAGCTTCATTAAATTCATCTACACTAAGAGAATACATTATATAAAAAAAGAGAAATGCTTGACTGAGACCAGATTGTGAGTAAAAAACCTTTGTTAGTGAATGGGGTTAAAGAAGATAGTCTAACCTGTAAATTTGAAGACTTTGAGGTTTGTTGAAGCTGTATTTATATCAGTAATTTATTTAAACTTCAATATTAAGTAGACAGTTAACTTTTCAAAAATGTTAATCCATTTATTTCACACAAAGAATTAGTTTAATTCTAGAATTACTGATGGTGTTCGTATAGGATCTACTCAGCTTTATAAACACATTTTTCTAAACTGTTTATGCATCATATTGCTTGTGTGTCCATGATTGGAGGGTTTCTAACAGCATATTAGTCATACAAGAAAAATTTAAACAAATTATCATAAATATTAATGTAATATCCAACTAATTGCTGCTGAAGTGCTCTGTGTATTTTACAGAGAGAGTGATCAGTACTTAACACTGAATGCTGAAACAGACAAAATCATGATGTTACTCAGTATAATGCAATGTGTGGATCGTATTATCAGTGAATAGTATACAAACAAGCTGGTAATGAGTATTAATGACTTGTTTTTTGAATTGGAAATATGTACTTTCTTTAAAGGTGAATTATGATAATTAACAAAGAATCTTATTTTTCATTCTACAAAAGTTTGCGTGTTTGTTTTTATAGCCTGAAAAAATTTATTTTGGAGTTGTGAACCAATTTTCATCATTTGGAATGTTTGTTGATTTTCCTGGAGATGTTCGTGGGCTGGTACCATTAAGGGTAAGTTGTTAGTTTTAAAAACAGATTCATGAAGTAGTGTCAGTAAATAAAGGTAAACAGGGTCCCTTAGTTTTTTGGAGATGTTTGTGGACTGGTACTGCTAAGGGTAAAATGTTAGTTTTGAAAACAGATTCTTGAGGTTCCGTCAGTAAACATGAATTATTACCTTATTCTTATGGTACTGGTTCCAGTAATGTTAAGTTTAATTCATTTTACTAAAGATAATTGAGTAAGTTAAACTAGTTTTGGTAGTGGTTCTAGTAGTGTTAAGTTTTACTGCATTTTACTAAAGATAATAAGTTCAGCTAGTTATGATACTGGTTCTAGCAAAGTTAAGTCACGTTATAGTTTGTTAAATATAATCACAGGTTTGAATAAGTTAGGTAAGTTAGTTTTGGTAATGATTTCAGTAATGTTAAGTTTCATCTTAGTTTACTAAAGGTAACCAGAGGCTTCTCTTAGTTAAAGTAAGTTTTGGTAATGAATCCAGTAGTGTTATGTTTCATCCTTGTTTTTTGAAGCTAACCAAGGGTGCTTGTATTAGTTACAGTAAGTTTTGGCAATAATTTTAGTAACAATAAACTTCATCTTTGTTTACTAAAGGTAATCAGGGGCTTGTATTAGTTGTAGTGAGTTATCTGTGGTCACAAAGATGTGTTTTTCATTTATATGAGTAAGAGTAAGACTATTATATTGATCTCTTGAAGCTGTTAAGTTATTTATTAAAGTAAGGATAATTATTTCCTTAGATCCTAAAGGAGGATTGTATTAGTAAGGGTAACTTACTATCATAGTATCTGAAGACATGCAGGGATTTATATCCCTACAGGTAAATTATATGTTTAGGAGATGACCAACGGCTCACATAGATAAAGGTCAAGTTTTTATCATAATATCAAAAGATGTTTGGATATATGTAACTGTTCGAATATATTACTACTTTTTCTTCCCAGGGGTGTTTATATGAGGGTAATTTCAGTCATAGTTTGTAGAGATGACTAGTGGCTTGTATATTAAGGTAAGGTTAACATATCATTCATTATAATGGAGATGCCTGCAATTTGGAAAAGTTACATACTAGATTTGACTGCAGTGTTTGTTAAACTAATGGTAATTAAAAAAAAACATTTCAAGGTTGTTTTTGTGAATAAATAACTCATTTCTGCCTACAGCAAACAGTAAGAGAATCATTATTCTTTTGGCTCTTGCATAGAGAAAGGATGTAATATGCTAAATCATTAATCAAAGTCACATTAGGTAATGGATTGAGAAACTGGGCATTTTTAGCTTTGAGATATCACTCAAGAATATTCATTTTATAGTAAACTTTCTGTATATAGAGCATCGTTCACTGATTTGTATATTATAATTTTCTACTGAATTCTTTAAAACTTCACGTAGTGGTAAGTTTTTCATCATGTATACCAAACCTTAAAAATTATCTTGGTTAAACTGATATGAATGTTTGGTACCAAATTTTTTATCCAGAATGTTTTTTAAACTGTTGTTAATTTTTTAACAGCATATGACCAATGAACGGATTGCTGATCCTGAGTCTTCAGGATTCTGTTGTCATCAGACTGTTACAGCCAAGGTTATACTCATTGATTCTGAGAAACATCAGATGGACCTTAGCACTCGGCTTTCTGACTGCTTCTTTAATGATCCAGAACCTAGTGTCACCATTTTGGAGAATTATTTAAATGACTGGGAAAAAATAAAAAATAACTGTGAAGAAACTGGAGGTATGAATCTAATTGTGCTATAGGTTTTAGTTGTAGTTTTTCTTCATGTAAATAAATGGAAACAAACTTAGTTGAATCAAGTGTCTGATTGTATTGTCATTAACTTCTGATCAAAGCAAGCTACAAACATAAATCAGAACAAAAAAATTAACTCAGTAATGGATGTAGCTAATTTATCATTAACATGCATTGATTCATCAGTTAGATACACTTGCTTGTAGCAATATCTTTTGCTATAATCCCAATATCTCATGATATTGGGCCAGCTTGGAAGTTTTAGGTTTGTCCTAAATCCATGCACTAATCTAACAATTCAAAATGATCATAATTAAAAATATTTAGTAATAAATATTAATTAAACATTATAATGAACACTTATTTTAATGAAGAATGAAATATACATTAACTACAAAAGATATAAAAATTAGTTGTTTGTGTCATACACCATCACAGGACAATTGTTTGGCATCCTGCCATCTGTTTATCAGGTCCTTTTTTAAATGATGGTGCAAAAAGTATCTTGGTAACTTGTCCATTGAAGTTCCTGTAAATATTTAATATCCTCCACACTGCTAGGAGTATTATAGCTTTTTCTCACTTTGTTCTATTTTTAAAGTTTATTGTGGCCATCCTTTGAAGGTAAAATTTGAATATAAACATATCAGAACTTACTGTACTTTGAGCAAAAACAATACAGAAAATATTGTATGTGTTCTATACTTGTATAGTCATTGTTGTTAATACCAGGACAATTGGATGGTTTTCTTGTTTTACTTTATGTCCATTGCTTCTTTTTATAATTCTGAAATAAATAATATTTTGCTTTAGAAAAACAAAATTTAATTTCTTGTTAATTGCTTTAAGTCATTGTGTGCTGGACAAAATGAATTAGGTATTAACAAATTAATTATATTTAATTTTGCATGTAACTAAAAAAATAACTCAAATCATAAATGAGTGATTTCATTGGCTCCTTATTCAACTTCACAACACACCATACTGTAAACATGGAACCATATTGCAACAGCATCTTTCATTAATAGTTTGTAATTTATGTATTACCTGCTTGCAGGGTTGAAATTCTCAACAAAAAAGTGCCAATACTCGTATGTGAATACAACAAAGAATTTTGTATGATTAATAATACAACAACACTCACAGTGAGCACACTTATAGATATTATTTTAACATTCTACAGAAAACTGTTCTATATATTCCATAATATTTATTGTTTTGATAGTTTTAAAGAAACAAATGTATGTTAAACAGGCAATTAAGTCAAAATTTTCATAATTGTAAACTTACCTCATATGTTGTTGTTTTTCTTTTTTGCTTCATATTTCATTGAATGTTAAAAAGGCATTATATGTTCTAATATCAGAGGTGGATAACAATTGTACTGCATCAGTCAATAAAACATCATTTGGATATTTTTTTTTTTATTGACCAATCATATAAATCAAACAGCCAGATGAGATTACCCGATTGGTTTAATAGTGATTGATGTTGAAGTTACTGAATAACTTCTCCTTGTGATCTTCTTGCCAACAAATACTGATATCATAAGGTCATTTATTGGTTCATTTGAAGAATATTTAATGCTTATTTATATTCTGAGTTGTGACATCTCTGCTTTCTAACAGTAAGATGGAAGACTTGTGTGTTGGATGAAAAGCAAATCAAATATGTCCTTGTTCTAAGTACTAACATTAAGGCAAGTCCCAGAACTGAGTACAAGCAGAATTTCACCTTTGCTTACTGTATATTATAGGTGTTAGTTTGTACTGCTTTTATGGAGATATTTGTGTATGAATTATCTTAGTTTTGCTGTTTCCCTTTAAATCTGTTGTTATGGGCTGTCACTTGTCACATTCATTAATGGTGTGAAATTTGCTTATAAAGAAACTAGATACATATGTTAGGTATTCCTTTATAGTGTAAATACAATCAGCCACAGAAAACATTTATTGTAAGTTTTTCTAGAAATATTATTTTCAATATAAAAAAAAAGTTTTATTCTGTTGCTTTCCTTTATATTTCCAATATTTATTTGAGTAAAATATTTAAGAAGGAAGCCAAAAGTATATTTTCTTAGAAATTGGAAGATCAACTTTTGTATTTTCATATATATTTTTTATTATTTCTCCATGGGTTTTAAAACGTTTTCCTTCTTCAGGTATGAAGGCTGAAATAGCCAACGTTAAACCTGGTACTGTCAGAGATGTCACAGTCTTCCAGGTTACAGAGTTTGGAGTGTTGTGTAAACTGCACACTGATCTCTATGGATTTGCTACTAAGAGCCAGTTGGATGGTAAGAAACAATTCTCATTTACTTGTGCGTGTGCGTATATAACCACCAATAAGGATTCTTTTGGCTTAGCAATTATAACATATACAGACTGCCATTTTGTATTAAATCTCTTATCTTAAGGTTGAAGGACTTACATTAGCTGGAATTGTTCTCTATTTTTCTATGTGATTAACCACGACAGAAGTTGGAAGTAAGTGTTGAGAATGAATAAAGCTTATTTTAGATTATTCTGAGTTTTATAAGCGTTTGCTGTGTGCTTAATTTATCTTTGACTTACCACAGCCTGGTGTTTAGGGTAAATTTAGAATTTACTGTGACCTATAAAATACACATAAACAATTACTTTTCTTTGTATCTGTTTTCCAGATAAAATATAAGTAACTTATATTTTTAGTTAAAGTTAAATAAGTCTAATTCTCAGTAACCTTATTAACTATGTATATTATATGAATTTCAGAGAGAATGCAAGAATGATTTTCATTTATTTATAAAAATATGATAAACTGTAATTTTCTTCCATCAGGAAAACACTGGGAAGTAGGGGACAAAGCTGAGGCTGTCGTGCTTCATGCAGATTTTGTGAATAGCGTTATTGAAATATCATTGTCACATTCTCTGGTAAAACACTTCAAAAATGTCAGTGTTTCTGAAAGTAGCAAGGTATGTTTATTGTGTTTAAAGTTTTTTGTTTGAGAGTAATTTTTAAATACATATTTCAAATATTCTTTGGTCTGTTTTAAATTAATGTATTGCTTCAACTTAACTATCTGTAACACTGTTTTTTTTCTAAGACTATGTGAATAATATTGGAAGAATAGTGGAGAAATAGTTACTAGAATTATCTGAATGTGCTTGACATCAATGCAGGGATTGACCTGTATTTGAGAAGTCATGTTGACTATAATCCCAAATTTACTACATGTTTGTACACAAAATGTGGCAAGCTTTTTAGTCTGTTGTACACAGATAATCAGATGTTGATATTTGTACTTGAGATAGGTCTGTGAATTGATGACATCAGTCTGACCCAGACTAACTAATCAGAGTGAAAAGTGATGTTCACATGAAAAATAAAAATAAGTTTATACATCACACAGTTTATATTACCTTTGCATAACTTATAGAACCTCCAAAATGCATATCTACAGTTTTTTCAGTATCCATTTGTATTGTATCTGGTATTTACTATTCTCTACCACAAAATGTCACTAAATCAGTAGTGTAGGGTAAACTGAATAGTTGATAACCCTGACATCAAAATACATAATACCATGTTGAATGGCACTCTATAAAAGGTTGTGGCATATACACTTTGACCCTCACCCATGCACATATATTTAAACCATAAATCTCCAGTACATACTCTTCAGAAGACTAACAAATAAACATTAGAAAATAAAATTATGTAAAACAATAAAATCCCACTTTTCACAGATTTGTGAACCTGCTAGTATACCAATTACAGAACAAAACATACTGTACAACATTGTAAAAATTCTGGTATACTTGTCTCTCCACCATTTTTAATAAACAATAAAAAAACAACACCATTGTACTACTATTGTCATCGTTTTCATTTATCTGGTATTGACCCACCAATGTGTAGCCTTTGTGACACTCAAGTCACAATATCCCACATTTTACTGTTGTGCCATTATTACGACTGTGAGAGGTGGCACCATTTTTGACATATACTTTCTATTTACCCAATGACACTGTCTAACCTGACTGTGTTTTTAGCTTTTTGTGAGTTTAAGGCCTCTTTAATTCTATTTAAATCTTTTATCTGAATTTTGGACATTGTTTAGTTTTAACTCAATATATTTTTACATTTTATAACAATTTTACTTTTAATTGTTATTTACTGGTTGTTTGGCGCAGATAGCCTAGTTCCTTTGTGCAAACAAACAAACAACCTCACATGTTAAAGAAAGAAGAATAAACATAAAATAAGTTAGAAAAATTATACTAAGTTATGAGAGTAAGATGTGAGTGCTGAAGCCCACATCATCCCATATCTGTATCACACTTCACTGCTTGCAGACAGTTGTGGAAAGGTTACTGCTCTCCATAGAAATGTAAAGTAAAAAACAAAACTTACCATTGGGGGTAAGTAATGGAACTTTACCTCCTGATATTGGCAATCCCCTGTTATAGTAGTAAAAGCTGAAATTAATAAGTATATCTTGTATCCCACATTATAGCCTGTGCCTTTGTGATCTTTTTAATATATGCACTAGTTTTTGTTGTAGTTGTTAAGGCTTTTTTATAGTAATCAAAATGTTTTTTTTTATCACAGGTTTGGTCTTGTTATTTTTAATGCAATACTTTCTTTTGACATTAATAGTTACTTAACTGTTGAAATAACGTTTTTACTCTTACTGAATTATTAACATTTTACTTTCAGTATTTGTTACTGAAACACTTATTTACAAAGTTTTCTTTAATTATTTTATTAAACCTAGACGCTACATTTTTATAGTTCTCTTAATACTTATTTCATAAGTAATAAACATTGTTATGTAATTTTTTGTGTTTGACAAGTATAATTATTAAATTCTCTTCTTTCTACGAGTGAACAATAAGGTTTTAAATATTCTATAGCTTATTTGATTGTTATCTAGTGAAATATTGTGTAAAAGTGGGATTGTCAAATAAGTATAAACAAAATTTAGAAAGTGGTAGAAAATCCTTTCACTATTAAGGGTATGATTCACCCAGCTCTAGTAATAATCTCTGACTTAAGAAGGCATTTAAGTTCACCCTGTGGCTAGTAATTTAATTTGTTTAGAAATGAAAGGTAGGTGGAGTTTTCAGTAGTCATCCCACAATAAATACTGGTGTATTGTGGCCAATGAAATTCAGTTCTAGGTCAAAACACGCAAGGGAACTTCCATAATTGGTTAGTCAAAAATCATTTTCACATAGTAATGTGATGTTAATAATTCTACAAATAAGGTTTGTGTATCTAAGAGTCTGTAAACATCACTGGTTTTATTAATAAACCAAATATCCAATGGTAAAAAAACAGGTTATTGTGTTTGGTTGACAACTGTTGATTGCATGCAACTCTTTGTTTTTACTGTATATTTGTTCAGTATATAAGTTGATGTGTAAATAAAAGTGTGCAAAAGGGATATGGAATTATCTTGCCACATAAAACAGGATGGTTTTCCTTTCATATGAAAAAAAAGTTGAAAGAATGCTACGTTTTTTTGTCATTAATTATCATAAACCTTCTGGAAATTCTTGACAGTTATAAATTAAAATACAAACAAGGAAAACCAGAGTAATTGAAACAGCTATATGTATACTTAGCATTTCTATTTATGTCAAAATAATTATATGATAAACATCATATAAAGATCACAATTGTGTTATTAGTATGTATACAGATATGTGCAGCCTGGTGGTTAAGACTCATAATGTGAGGGTTTTCAGTTTAAATCCTCGCCACTGAACATGATCATCCTGTATGATTGCCACCTGGGAGTAAATTGCTCTTGGCTTACAACAATTATCAGCCGACCCCTAAATCATTGAGACTAAGTTCGAAATGGGAGAAAAAAATGCCCATATATGTATATCCTTTTGCCTCTCTGATTAGTTTTTTTAGTTTTTGCTGGTTGATTTTGAAAATTCTTTGACTTTCCTTAACTTTCATTTATTACTCGGTTCATTAACCTTGTTTGCCCTGTAGTAATTACTTTATCATAGCCTTCTGTTTAGCTCAACTATTGATGCTACCCAACATAAACAAAAATTATAAATTTGATCAATCATTATAACATCTTGTTTTTGCTTTTGCCACTAAAACATGTCATTTTCTGAAATTATAACCAACAAAAATATGGTCATTTTTATTAAAAACGTGAAAAAATACATGTAACTGGGATTATGAGCTATCCTCTTTATTTTTTTTAAAAAGGTAAAAATATATCCATCTCAAAATATTTTATAAACTTTCTCTACAAGAGAAACCAGTTTATTTACATTTTCAAGTGTGATGACACCTGAACAAGGTCACATGTTAGTCAGTTTTCTAAAAGTGACATTATCCTTAATCCAAGTTCGGCATGAAATTTTGCACAAAATAAATATATCCAGTGAAGAGGTGACAGTTTACTTTGTAACAATAAGAAGGATCTTTTCCTTTACATCTGCAAAGTCTCTCTTTTGAATTTGATTCAGTTATGGTTTCCTTTACTGACACTGGTAAAACAAATTGCCTACCCCATCCATACAAGTACAGCAGATCACAAGGTTATGTATCCTGAGGCACATTACAACTACATTGTCCTCTTACTGTGCCTACTCTGTAACAATAAACAAAATGAAAAAAGGGGGTGGAAGTTGTTCAATTACCAAGAAAGTGTATTCTGTTTACACAATTTTTCAGACTCAATGAAGCATGTTAAAAAACCTGAGAGAATGAGAAGTACAATGAAATAGATGTTAATAACATGAGAAAACTCAAGTAAATTCTATTTTATATGTACTATTCATGGCTAGAGGATATCTTGTATTTCTTTAAGATTGCAAACTGTGAGTGTATTTAATACTTTTCTCACATTTTTCAGAACACTGGCATGTTCTCTGAAACCTTTGAAATATCCACATAAAAACACTAATAGCTGGTTTCAGTTTGACTGCTAATTCACTCACCATAACACTCGTGCATCTATGATAAAGAAAAGAATTATCAAAGTCAATCTGAGTTATCAGTGTTTTCAAGTAGACACCAAGTAATGCTAAACGTGAATTTATCACATATTTTGAATATATTGATTATCTGTGGAAATGCAAGTTAACTCTCAATATTATACAAGAAAGTATATTGAAGAAACACGACCATTTCAATGAGTTAGTTATCTCACTAACCCTAAGATAGTGTTAAGTCTACCAGCTACATGTTGCTCAAGATCACTCACATTGAGAAAGGTTACATACAAATGGTCAATGAGATTGATCATTAGTTCATAAATTAGGGGCTGCTATTATTGAGCTTGCAGTTGGTTAGCATAAGTAGATGTTTGCTGTCTAGGGGAAACAAACAAGTTTCTTCCATGCACATTCTTTAGCACTATTTACTACTTCAGTGTATTATATAGAAATTGTAGGATACATCAAAACATGTTGTTCATATTTATATGTTCTACTGAGAAATGGAACAACACTAATACACTTTGTTAACTATTCATTAATAAGGAACTGTCTAAAGTTTATTTTTTTTCCAATGACAACTTTCATGGTATGAGAGTACATTACTATTTCTTTCTGTATTTTTGTAACTGAACGCTTTACTTCAGAGCATTTGATCTCTGTTTTCTTCTGAACATTTGATGTTTTTGAAAATACTGCCATAAAATAATACATGTAAGCCATATGATGTGTTACATACTGATCTCGATTCCAAGTGGACTTGAAAAGTTTTGGAAAGTATTATATATTGTACACAAGGTTAACTCAGCTGATATGTTTGTGGCCCAATATGTTTCCTCTCCCCAACTATTTGTGTGATGTCAACATTCTAGAATGCTTTAGGAAGAACACTGTAACATCAAAGCAGGTGCAGTGGTCCTCGACTTACACACATACGAGGTTTTGATCTTTAATCGTCTTGTTGAAGCAGTCACTGACAATTTTGACTTAACATCTAACAAACGTTGCTTTCAGTCTTTACGATTAGTCTATTATATTTTTAACATTTTCAAAATCTTTATTCCAAGCCTATTTATTTTCAAGTTATGGTTAGGTGACTGGAAAACAGTCTATTCTAAGATTATAAAGAAATGTATTTTTTATAGCTACAATTTGTTCATAACACTGATATATCACTATTAGTTTATAGTATGTTCCTGATTAATGCTGTATATAAAGTTTATGTACCCTGCATTACAATACATTACTAAACAGTATTTTACATTATTGAAGTTCAGTTATGTAATTAGTCACATGTACTGAAAAATACTTGAGTGAAAACCTGTACAGAAATATGGTGGAGTTGACCTTGATTGTAATTGTGTACTGGAAATGTAAAGGAAGTGTAGCATTATTCTCATTAGGCTTCAATTAATTTTTATATCACTATCAAATATAATGACAATTTTTTAACTACTAAAGAATAGGATTGTATGGTAGCATATGTAAGACACTGAAAATTATAGAACATGAATTTATACATTGATGAAAATACCAGAAGCTTATATTTGGATTTATGTTGTAGTTATAGCCATTTTCTACAGTTTGTACATTTCATAAACTGTAATCACAGCAAGTAGTTTCATTGTTACTTTTTTTATTGTAGTATAGCTTAACTGAGAAGAACATTGAAATATAATGACAACACAAACATATATACAGCAAGAAATTATTTCAAGTACACTAATAAACATGATTTTTATCACACCTGCAATATTTGTTGTTTTGTAATGACTTCATTTTTTATCATTGTATATATATATTTACTACCTGAAAAAAAAGGAAGTAACAAAGAAATGGTGAATTCCTCCAAATTTAATACATTGAAAGTGCATTCTTTTTATGTCAGTTTAACAAATATGAAGTTTCCTGAGACAGACATCTTCAGTTATTCATTTGGTTCAGTTGTATTTACTAATAATACATGTCTGTGCCATCTAGTGGATTACAAAGCAAACAAACAAAATAATTATGATAACAAGATGATCATGTAATATCTGCCATCTAGTGACAACTTGTAATATTACATTCACAATGTTAACAGTTCATAGTATGATAGGTATTACTATTTCCATGTTTTCTATTCAATTTATGAGGATGATTGACAGTTATCTATCTATAATGGTCCACGATTATTATATAAAACTTTTACAAAAAGTCAGTTAACTTGCCAATAAAACACTGCATTCCAAAAAGTATAATTTTCAAAACAAGATATTTTACATAATGAAATATAAAAAATTTGGTAATATGTCAGTTCTATTATATCAAAAAAAATATATTTGTATATGGTATACTACATATGGTATTTAATACCATTTACAAAACAGCTTTAGTTAGACTTGACTTCCACATGGTGACACAGAGTCCTACCCTTAAAGATCTGTCTTTATAGAAAACTAGTTTGATAAAGTGTTGGCCTTGTACTTTAATATTTCAAGTGTAAATGAATCATCTCAATTTAAAGTAAAAAAAATTCTGACTACAAGATAAAGTTTTTTTTTTTATTTTAGGTAAAAATTGGACAAGTTATCAAATGTCAAGCACAGCTAGTTAAAGAAGATTTTGTTCTAGTTTCACTGCTTGGACATGCTATAGGTTCTCTTGCATACATTCCTACTCGAAGAGTGAGTATATATTATATTTCTTTGTAAGTTAAAGACTTATCAATAACTGTGTACTACTTTTAAATGTTGCCAGTTAACAAGAAATGGATTTGACTATATTAACAATTGTTGCCAGGCGCATTTTATGTTATTAGGGTAATGGTTGTGTTTGCTGTTGTTAAATCATAGATGATATGTTTTAAGAGTTATGTGTACATGTAGAGTGTTTCCTCTGTGTCAAGTTCTGTTATTTTTTGAGGCAAAACATGTTTTGTGTTTAGAAAGTCCTGTACATTGTTCTTATTCATAGAGGAATAAACTAATTGGGAAACGTTAGTGATTTATAGGTTACAAAATTCAGAAGTTCATGCTAACAGTATAATTTTTTTTATTTAGCACTGTGTGTTTTGATTACTTCAAGATTTCTTTTCATATCATTGCTTGGTATTTATTTCATTCTGACACATTTTTCTATTTATCTAGCATGTAAACGACATAAGAGGAAGACAAGAGTTATACACTATGGGAGAATATTACCATATAGTCATCAAAAGGTATGAAAAGACTTCTGAAATACAAGTGTCCAGTTTATTTGATATTTTTGTGTATCATTTAGTCCTTATTGATTATTTTATGTAGATTTTACTGTCAGATTATTTTAATGGATCCTGGTTGTTAGTTAATTGTCTTTACCTTTAATGATCCTTAAGTGAATCTCTGAACTTTTGTGAATTTATAATTTTACACTTCATTAGTTTAACCCCAGTTTTTTAAAGACAAATACTATCTTATTATGGTAATGATTGCTGCTGGACTTAATATTGGCATTCACTGTTTGTTAGTTGTAACTGGATTATTTAAAAAGGCCAGAGAAAACAACAGTAAACCTTAGCTGTCTTAAATTCTTAGTTATCATATAAAACTATTAAATACAACCTATCCAGTTAGGTTAAAAAAAAAAGAAAATTTGTTTACCATTTCTGTTTTTGATTATTAACTAATTTAATGACAGTTTTTCAAAAACTTATTATTTTATTGTAATTGAATTAAACATAGAGAGTTAGTGTTTTTTATAATACTACTTTAGTACTTTATATTTGTGGCCAGCCAGATATTGATTAAGTAAAATACTATTGATAAAAGATTGAATATATGCTTATACTTTAGGCAGTTTAGATTATTCAAACTTGGTTTTATAATTAACCCATCAGTTATTAGGAATGCAGTTTTTGTTTCTGTTTTAAGGATTTTGGGAGAATACACTATTGGAGTGTTGAAACAGCACGATAAACAAGTTCACTGTATGAAACCAATGGTTTCTGAACACACTACAGATAACAAGCGAAAGACATTAGATGAGGAAAAAACAATTGCTAAGAAAATCAAAGTGGAAGAAGCAAGTACAACAGAAGAAGCAGAACTGAAAGACGAGAAGACCAGAACTTGTCTGGATGCTGATGATAAATTTCTTGCAGATTATCAAAACCTCAGCATTGGTGGGATATATCCTGCTAAGTATGTTTAGTACTAGATAATGGTTTAAAATAATGTGTGTGTGTGTGTGTATGTATATATAGAGGGGGGGTGATGTTACAAAACTTAAAAAAAGATAATGTAAAAGTTCTTGAAGCACTGATTTTTGGAAGTCAAGTCTTGAGAATTAACAAAAAAATTGGAATATTGTGTTGAGTCTAAATTTTTCTTGTGACTAAACATCTTTCAGCCATTTTATAACAGGTTGTTATTATGGCTTCCTGCTTACTTGAAAAATAGAATATGTTTTTAAATAAATATATAAATATAATAGTACTGTCTGTTGTCTGTCCATATAACTACTTTGCAGGGTGTGGATGGATCTTCACCAAATTTGGTATGGAGGTTCATTGGGTCCATGGGGAGATACATACAATTTTCAGTTTTGCATTTTGCAGTTTTTATTTGTGTTCTTGCATTTTTTACCATTACTTTGCACCCTGTTGATGGATCTTCACCAAATTTGGCATGATGGTTTGTTGAGTCCATGTGGAGATGCATGCAAATTTGAGGTTTTGTGTTTTGCAGTTTTTATGGTCATTTTTGCATTTTTTACAATTACATATAAGGGAAACAACTTTTCATATCCAAAGATAACCTTTCATTAATCATGAATATACATAACTTCCATCGAGGGGACGGGTACTCCAGTTAGTCTATATAAATATATATGTGTGTGTACGTTTTTTTAGGAGTTGCGTAGTATGTATCCCACTTCTTGTATGAACCAAATAGGACCCAGTAGTCATTATGTCTGGACTTGGAATGCAAGGGTTCATGATTCATATCACTAAAAATTACCCCACACTTTAGAGCCATAGGTATCCTCTAAAACTTATGGTCAAGTCCCACTAATCAGTCAGAAAAGAATAGATCAAGACTTAACAATCACTTTAGTTCCGTGTAGTCTTTCAGTTCAATATTATAGACAACTATGAGATAGTTCTTATGTAGCTTTGTGTGAATATTCTAAACTGAAACAAACACTTCATTTTTACTTCATAGTTTATTTCAGAATAACTAAATAATTAAAGGAAGTACTATGTTAACGTAACTGAAAAACTTGATTTATTATCTGATATACAGAGTATAATGTGTATGGTTACAATGTTTCACCAGGTTAACATCGAATCATTGTGTACAACAATTACAAACAGAGTATAATATGTATGGTTACAATGTTTCACCAGGTTAACTTGACATCATCAGGTAAAACAGTTACAAACATTATAACCATACATGTTATACAAGGATAACTTATGTGCTTGTTAAGATCATACCAGTGATCGAAATGTTGTACCTGTTTTAAAAACAAATCTTACTTACTGTAAAAGCTGTAACTTGTAATATAATATATTATACTCTGTTTATCCAATGATAAACAAGTTGTTCACTTCATTTCAGAATTTCAATTTAATCACTTAATTTATTAGATATGGAATTTAATACATTTTATATATATATATATATATACACACCTGTATGTCTCTTGTGTTAGTTCCAGATTTAAGGCTATGCAAGTTGCAGAAAAGCAAAGTTTTAACTGAAATTTACAAAAAAACACAAAAATAAAGATCTACAATAATCATCATCAGTTTATTCTTATATTTAATGAATCAGATTTTATTATTACTTTTCTAACTTGGCACAAATTTGCTAATGTACAGCTATCAGACATTTTGAAGTGTAAATGATGTACGTACATACATTCACATTTCATAACAGATATTTTGCTTTTAGTTTGACATGTTAATCACAGTTACTGTAAAAAAAAGTACAAAACTAATTATTCTTTAACACTGAATGCACTGATCTGTAATAACTAATTTGATCATCCATAGAAGGTTTTTTTTTCCATTACTGTAACTGGTGTAAATGTACTGGTGAAGATGGTGTCTAGCATGCATAAATATATCGGTGGAGATGATAAAGGATTAAATGTGATCACACATTCTGGAAGGTTCTATATTTTCATGAGCTCACTTATTTTGGTTCTTCCAAAAATAATGCTTATATGTTTCTGTTTTTCCAAGGTATGAGGTGTAATGTCTGTTCTGAGTTGCAATTTTTTTTTCTTGTTTTCATTTCAGAGTCCAAGCTGTTAAAAAGTTCCAATTAAATATTTTGATCAACGACAAACACTCGGGCAGGGTTCATATCACGGAGATAGCTGACAATTTAGTTGAGGTAAAAAAAACATGTTTCATTTTCTTTACATATATGATCTATATTAAGTTTTTATGTAAGTTGTTGCCTTTTTTATTAAATTGAATGTTAGTAATTAATATTTATTGCAAAAAGCAAATTGTTTTTGTATATTCATGCTTGGAAGTATGTTTATTCAGAAAATCTACTTAACCTGTTCCTACACAATAGCACTTTATGATGACAAAATATGCATGACAGTACCAAATGATGTCAGGTTTTTTAATGTCCTACCTGTTACAGTAGTCAAATATTCATTAAAAAAACGTTTGTTTTATTCAATCATGCATGGAGAGGTTAAGGTGTAAGAATATAAAGCTAATGTTATTGAAATTAATTTATTTAAAGGAATTTTTTGATGTCTATTTTGAAAACAGTATATTGGCTATGAAACATTTGTGGGATATTTATAAATATATATGTAGAAGCTAATAAAGTGTTATTGGATGATACATAGTGGATTATAGGTATGTTTCATTACATATAAAGTGTAGTTTAACTCTGTTGACCTTATAATCACTATGAAAGTATACATACTACAACTATGAAAGTACTTAATGTGTCTTTATGAAATTTTTGATAATGATGGTCCTAGTACGCTAAATAATTTTTATTTACTTAAGTAATGCACCTGTGTATACATAATAACTGGCACAAAGTAAGCAATGCCTTGTAACTATTATAATTTAAATGGCTTTGTAACTAAGAAAAGAGAAGGCTTAAATGAATTCTATTACCTGTTTGATCTGAATGCCACGAGATAGACTTTGAAACTGCAGATGAAATTTACAATACTCTTTACCGAAAACAATGTAGCATTATACATCATTCAATAGATTAAAACTTTGCCTTTCTATTGGTTATAAGTGATATGGTATAAAACATTAGAGAGAATTATTGGCAATTTATGAAAGAGGGGATGTGACAGGTGGGCATGGCAAATGGTTCTGATTTTTTAGTTTATGACTCTGTAAACAAATAAGATTGAATGCTGTAAAAATTAAACTTTGTCTTAGTAATGTATATTATAATGAGTAATATATGTTAATTGCTATACTTAGATAGAAGTAGTAAATAAATTAGAGAAAGGGAAAGACCTAGAGAGCAAATGTCAAAATTCTCATCCTAAGGGAGCTTGAAGATTTTTTAAAATATTTCCTTATAGAATTAAGAACTTAAAACTGAAATAATATTAACATTTGCTTTATTAACTACATTGTGATACATTGATAATAAAGTATTTTATTTAAATTTTGAATGTAACACTGTAAAAGGTTGTGACATGTGCACTTTGACCTACCCATAGTGAGAGGGTTAAAAAAGTGCTCTGTGTAGGATACGAATCCACTTCATTGTAGGTATGTTTTTGTTACATATAAAATATTGTTTAAAAAAGTGCTAGGTGTAGTGTATGAATCCACTGGATTGTAGGTGTGTTTTTGTTACATATAAAATGTTGTTTAAAAAAGTGCTAGGTGTAGTGCATGAATCCACTGGATTGTAGGTGTGTTTTTGTTACATATAAAATGTTGTTTAAAAAAGTGCTAGGTGTAGTGCATGAATCCACTGGATTGTAGGTGTGTTTTTGTTACATATAAAATGTTGTTTAAATACATACTCTGTGTAGGGTACAAATCCACTGGAACAGTTTAAAGTTGGAGATCAGCTGAATGTAAAGATTATTGGCTATCATATAGTAAAGCCTCGTAGGTTTCTGCCCATCACACGTCAGCGAGGTGTACATGTTCCTGAGTGTTCTCTTCGTGCTGTGAATTCAAACTCTACTCATTCTGTAAACAATATGTTTGCTATTGGACAAGAAGTGACAGGTTTTGTGAAGGAGGTAATTACTAACTCGTTATTGTAAGATGTGTATGAGAAACTTAAGAAATTATTTTTGAACATAAAGTGTATTTAACTCCTGTATTCAACATTGTATCCTTCCAAAAAAAGTAAAAAACTTAATAGATCTCGAAATAGAAAGATCAAAACAGTGACAAGTAAATAGATCTTGTTATATTCATTTCTTGAACTTGGACTTTACTCAAGTACAAGATCTGTATAATTATTTAACATTTTGACTTCTCTGTTCGCAGTTTACCAACTCCTGTTTATGGCTGTTACTTAGTCCTCATGTTTGTGGAAAAGTATTCATTCTAAACCTGTCCAACAATCCCAAAGTAAGAAAATCTTGGTCTAATAGAAAAATGATCATTTTTGTTTATATACAACAACTTTTTTAATGAAAGCAATTTCTTACAAAATGCTAGAATTAATATCTGAAAATTCTAAATGCTTAAGTCTAAGACTCAATCTACATCATCTAAAAAAATATTTCTAGATATGGAACTTTTAGATGGCTAAGTAAATTTGAGAAAGCAGTTATGAAATATTAAGAGTTTGTTTTTTTAAATAAATTTTGTGAATAGAATTAATATTTTTGATTAAATATAATGTTATTTAAACCATCAAGATGTGTATTTATATAGAATGAATTTGACACATTTTTACTTTTTAGGTATTACGTGACATTCCAGATCAGTTTCTCCCTGGTCAAGCTTTTAAAGCCATTGTAGTCAACTCTGAAGATGATCATATTGAAGTAGTTAAATTAGGTAAACTTTTTGCATGAACCAAATTGTGAAGAAACATTTACAAAGACTAATATTTTAATCACCAAGTCAAACCTATCCTCTAAGTACTTCCAAAGAGGAACTTAAAGTGAGTTATTAGTGTACTTTATATTGTTTGTTGTTGCAGTGATCTAATTCAGTTCTTTGCATTGACTGTTGTTGCGGTGTTTTACTCTACTACTTTGCACTGTTTGTTGTTTCAGTGTTTCACTCCACTTCTTACTTAAAAGACAACACAGCTGTAAATGTTTTTTCACATTTCTTTGATGTTAGACATCTAAAATCTTGTGAGCATATTGCTATAGATGCCTGTTCGCGTCTCCTTGATGTTAGATATTTGAACTCTCCTGAACATGTAGTTGCAGAGGCCTGTTCGTGTTTTCTTGATTTTAGATAATTCAACTATGCTGACCATGTGACTGTAGATTCCTGTTTGTGTTATCTTGATGTTAGACAACTCAACTATGCTGAACATGTAAATGTAGATTCTTGTTCATGTATCCTTGATGTTAAGTAACTGAAAGCAGCCAAAACTAATGTGCACTAATATTTGTAAACACACAAGCATGTATTTTCTTAAAAAAAATACAACTTGGTTTGTCAGTGTCTGTTGGTGATATCAATATGTATGTCAGACAAGAGAGGATTTCATAACTTATCAAACAAATTATTGATGTTTTTGGTCGAGTTTCAGGTTCAGGCAATAACATCTGAAAATCACTAGTTCTGGCATGGTGGTCACATGGACTAACAATTTAGATTTTTTTGTGGACAGTCACAGTGTTAAACATTTTATAGTCTGTTATGTAGTTATGATATATCTATCCTAACAAGACTATGGTTTTTTGTGGACAGTGAAAGTTTTAACTATGTTATGGTCTGATATGCAGTTATGATATGTTTAGCCTAACAAGACTGTGGTTTTGGAGGACAGTGAAAGGTTTAACTGTTTTGTGGCCTGTTGTGGTATATGTGGACTAACAGGAATTTAGGGGTTTTATGGATAATAATGGATATTACCTCTAAAATCTGTAAATTTACGACTTGATGAATATGGTGTTTTTTAGGGGGGGGCAAATAAAGATACCTGCCTGCACATTATTGATTTAAAATTGCTGAGAAATTAAAAAAAAATTGGTTAATTAACTGATACTTTTTTTCAGGATATGATATATATTTTCCCAAATTAAATTATGCTTTGTTTATCTTTGCTCTCTCTATATCAAAAAACATTTTGTATCCTTTCGCATAATAGAAGTTGTAGCTACTTTTTTTGATGTTTGCTAATGAAGGAACTGGTAATTATTGAGCTATTTAATGAAAAATCCATTTGTAATTTTAGTAATTTTTCACAATGACTATATTTTTTTTAATCCTTATTGATAAACTTCATAAAATTTGTGGAAACACATCTCAGGCCATCCACGTACGTATGTGGTTTTGTGGGTCACAGTGTAACCAATAAATGCGTATCAGAAATATTGGGTACTATATTTTTTTTGTAATTCAGTTTGGGAGCAAAGGTAGTTGTAGAATAACTTAAATAAAGTCAAGTTCCTATCTACCAAATTTTGGTTATAGTTCTTTTAGAAAATAAAGTAATACATTTGAGGTAGTTTGTACCAAATGAGGTATACTTACACTATGACCAGTGTTAAAAAGTGCCAAATATCATACATTAAATATAAGGTTTTATTGTTTTATTAACTATGATATTAATTTATGATTATTAATATAAAAAATAAAAAGTATTTTTTAAATTTTGCATTTATATATATTAACTTCCTTTTAATTTTTCTTTAAAAAATATCATAACATTTAAAAAATTCCAGGGCTTCATAAACCTGACATTGGTCAGGTTGTTATGGGTCAAGTTGTTAGTGCTCGAGCCATTATGGGAGTATTGGTGAGGTTACCATATCGCTATCGGGGAGTTGTGGAGTTGACAAACCTTCGTGATGACTACAGGCCAGCCTCTTCTGTTCTTAGTAGCTTTCTATCTCAGAAGTTTATACGTTGTTATGTTCTTGGGGTTGATCATGAAACGAAGCAATGCCAGTTATCTGCTCGAGCATCCAGGTTATAGCTTTTTTTATCATCTTCACATATTATGATTTGAAAATTATGAATTTAATGTAAACTTTATAGTCTTGTCAGAAAATAGAAACCTGAAATAAAAAACAATGTACAAAACCTTTGATTAACATAAATCAAAATTATGGTCTCAAGCCTATTTTTAGTGTAATTTCATATGTATTGGAAGAACATGAAGGAGTTAAACAAGAAAATGTTCATTACTGAGTTTTATTGAATTTAATTTAAATTAGAAAGGTGTAAAAAAATGTTGCTTCTGGGAAATGAAACAATATTTTTTCTGATCACATAAGCTTATGAGTAACTGAAGTATTATTACTAAACAGATTGCTAACTACTACTCAATTTGATTTAACTCCCAAATTAATAACTTTTTATATGGTTCACTACTAATATAGTACATGAAATTTGGCAGAAACATTGATAAACTGTTATGATATGTTTAGCCTAACAAGACTTATCATCCTGTGTAATTAATAAGTGATTAGATGTACATCCTCACTTGTATCAGACATCAACCTGACAAAAATATAGTTGATTTATCATCCTGGTTAATTAATAATAGTGACTATATGTACATCCTCACTTGTATCAGACATCAACCTGACAAAATATAGTTGATTTATCATCCTGGGTAATTAATAATAGTGACTATATGTACATCCTCACTTGTATCAGACATCAATTTGACAAAAATATAGTTGATTTATCATCCTGGGTAATTAATAAGTGATTAGATGTTCCTCCTCACTTGTATCAGACATCAACCTGACAAAAATATAGTTGATTTATCATACTGGGTAATTAATAAGTGATTAGATGTTCCTCCTCACTTGTATCAGACATCAATCTGACAAAAATATAGCTGATTTATCATCCTGGGTAATTAATAATAGTGACTATATGTACATCCTCACTTGTATCAGACATCAATCTGACAAAAATATAGTTGATTTATCATCCTGGGTAATTAATAATAGTGACTATATGTACATCCTCACTTATATAAAACCAAGATTTTTTTTTCAAATCTGCCATCCTGTTTACTATACTATAGTAATTAGATGTACCCTGTCCATAGCCAAGCTATTTGATATGTAGATGTTTCTACTTTTGCTGACATTTTCCATGACCTTTTTTCTGTAATGTTTCACATGGACCCACAAAAAGTGTGATGCATAAATAGCTTTGAAGAATGTGTTTTAAAAACATGTGGGATCCATTAGTAAATGTAAGATTTAAAAAGTTTGTTTAACTAGCATAACATGAGTTATTTGATATGTTTCTGTGTCCTTTACAAATATTCTGGGTCATACGATATCTCAAGAGTTTAATTACAACTATTTGTGGCTATAGAGTGAGGAATAATAAGTAGCTTTGCAGTAGAAATATGATTTAGTATTCAATGACAACTATTTGACCCAGGTTATATACTCAATTACAGTTGGATGATATTTACATTACTGAAATTGAAATAATCTTCAACAGTGATGTGTCAACTAAATTGTAGTTTATGCATCTCAATAAAACTCCATATTAAGCCAGTAGGGAAAGATTTAATTAAGATTAGGATCTTGAACATTGACATGTAACATCATACTAAACAGATCTTTTTTGTTCGTCTTACGCTTTATACACCTAAAGACTGCATCAGATCAACTTAAAATATATATAAGAAATTCTATATAACAGGAGCAGTTGCACTTTCATGCTACTACTGTAAATGTTTTCTTTATTGTGTGAGATTGATTGTTTCAATAATTTGTTATGGTATTTAAAGGTATTTCTCACTGTAGTCCTTTTGTTTTACAAAAATTTCAGACTGAAGAAGGTGGAGGTTATTGTTGATCCTGAAGTGAAGTCAATTTCTGATCTCAGCGAAGGTCAGGTTTTGAGAGGTTTTGTGACATCAGTGACGAAGAGAGGTGTTACACTTGCTCTAGGAACGGGAGTAAGAGGAACAATTCCTAAAAAATACTTCCCTAAAAATCTTAATATAGACTTGAAAGCATTTCTACCATTAGGGTCAGTTTTGAAGGTAAAAGTAATTACAATCAGTGAAATGGAAAACGTTGTGTTATCGTATGTTGACAGCTTTACAGCTAGTAGCACTAAAACTGAGCCATTTGGTGATAAAATAGTTATTGGTGAGTCACAGAATGAAAGAACTGTTGATGTAGGAAGTGAACACATTGGCTCAGAATATTTGGACAAGAAAGAGAAAAGTCAGCCAGCTGCTGCTAAAAGAAAGAAAACAAGAAAGGTAATAAAGATAACTGTATTGAATGTATTTACAAAGAGGTTGTGACAATTAGATATCAGTCATTGTCAGGGTTATATGGTCATCTTAAGTTTATATATTAATTAGTTCCTCTGTTACAGTATTCTAGGTCTTTTTAGAAGGCTGTTGCACTATTCAGTTGTCTTGGCTATCCTCCCAGAGGACTTAAATCAACTATTTGAATGTTTTTAAGAGGGTTTTGCTGATTTCTACACTAAGTTTACTGAGTATATTATCAGTTAACTGGATGTGGAAGTCTTCTTTTATCATTCTTTTTCTTGTTTGTAGTTCACATCCTATTATTTTAGTATTATTCCATTTTATCATATGATTTTTAGCATAATGGATTACTACAGCTAGGTCAGTATAACATAGTATTTTGTTATGCTCCAAATTTCAGAACTTTATTTCTCCAGTTTCATGGAGTCAATATGCACAAAAAGTATTGTAAATGTTATTTTCAGAGAGACATTTGACATTGGGAAATATAACTGTTTGTGTAATTTTCTTTCTGCTTAATCTTGATGCTTATCTTTTTTATTTTATTCTTTATCGAGTATTCATGGTATCCATTGTTAATTAGAGTTGTAGTAATGTATTTTTCTTTGTTCTTCTTATTGTCTTCTGTATTATAAATGTTGTTCATTTTGGAGATTAGAAAGTTTATGATGCCTTGTTTTCACTGCTGGGGTGGGGTGATTTATAGTCAGGGTATTTACCAGTACATGTGGGCTTCTTGTAAATTCCAGAATTTTGTGAGTTATATGTGTCTTGGCAACTTTACTATCTAGAATGAATGGTGGATAGCCCACCAGTTTTTTCTAACGAGAGGATCAAGGATTGAATTCCAGCTCTACTACTACATACAATTTCCTCAACTTTCCTGAAGATGGCAGCAGATTATCAGTCAAATCAAAGAATATAAACTAATTACTAATTAGTAATACAATAAAACCAATGAGTATCTAATTGATAATTAGCTTTAGATTATCACGTAGCTTACTAACCGTGATAGTGAAGGGTAAATTAAAATGTTTACACCTTAGTTTAAGTATAAATGTGTAGTACATTTTGTTAGTAAACTGTTATCTTGTATCATATATTTATTAAATCATTAATAATAAAAATTAAATATCATGGTGTCTTAGCTAAATTTTATTTTCATTTATGAGGTATTTATAAGTGTAAGTTGAACTGTTACTACTGGACTTGAACAAGAATGTTTATATTGAAAATTGTAATTTTTGAAGGTAAGATATTATTGAGTCAGGTATAATTGTTAATAGTAGTTTGTATGTGCATCAAATTAACCAAAATTGATATGCTTGTGTTGGATGTTTTAATAATAAATTCAGTTATTTGGGAAAACAGGTTTTAGAAGGTTTAACTCTATCTAAAGTGTCTGGTAGTATTCATTTGATGCACCTTTTGTATGGTTTGTTTTATTGCATTACAAAAAAAACTTGTGGATGAAATAGGTTACAACTTGAGATTAATTTTTCACAGATTATGTAGCTTCTGCACATAAAGTATATTTATCAAATTCACAATTCATTGTGATATGCCCTTTTTAAGAAACAGTTACAAATGCTTATGTTTGTTGAAGATTTCATTTACTGATTTTTTATGTCTTCCTTCATTCTTGTAAACTTTCCTATAAAGTTTTTATTTTATGAAACTGTAAATTTTATTTTTGTTTTGATTTGAAAACATCGCATGCAGTTTCACTCTGTTTACAATCACTGCTGTGCAATTAAAAAGTAATTTTTTTACCATAATAATTATAAGTAAGGCAACTTTTTAAAAATTGTGAATCCAGAGGTTTCATTTAATATGGCCCGGCATGGCCAGGTGGTTAAGGCACTCGACTCGCAATCTGAGGGTCACGGGTTCGAATTCCTGTCACACTAAACATGCTCGCCCTTTCAGCTGTGGGGGCATTATAATGTGATGGTCAATCCCACTATTTGTTGGTAAAAGAGTAGCCCAAGAGTTGGCGGTGGGTGGTGATGAGTAGCTGCCTTCCCTCTAGTCTTACACTGCTAAATTAGGGACGGCCAATGCAGATAGCCCTCATGTAGCTTTGCGCGAAATTCAAAAACAAACAAACAATCATTTAATATATATAATAAGTTTTAAAACATGTTATATAAGCGTGTGCAAAATATGTATATTTTACTATTATTTTCAGTAGTTTTATTTTCCCATACAAGCAGTTACTCAGGCCTGTAATGTCTAATGTAAACTCAGTCTAACAAACATTGGCATTGTTGGTGAAATTAAACTTGACATGGTCAAGTGCAAAATAACTTAACTAAATCTACCTCATCTTTTTCCACACAAAAAAAACAGTTCTTTCCTATTATTCTGCACCATTGTACTTCAGATGAAGTATTAAATAATAAAACAAACTGTACCACTGTAATTGTTGCAGAATTAGCTCACAAGCATATTTTCTTCTAGCAACATCTTAACAAGCTATGTTTTTATCATATTGTTTCAATATTTATGAGAATCTTCACTGAACTGGAAGCTATGTTGGCTTATACAGCTGAAAAGTATGGAAAAATTTTCACTACATGTTTAGATCACTAGCCTGTGACTTTTCAAAGCTTAGGTATAGGTAATTACATCAAACCATTGTGTTCAAAACTATTATAACTTTCCTTCTAGGATCTATGAGTACCGTATTATGTTCATAAAAAAACTCGGGAAGTTCACAAACACAATTGTTTTTATTTGGAGCTTTGAAAGCTTTTTCAGAATAAAATTTGTGATTTTTTACATTTTCTAATGCATAAAATTAAATAATTAAAACTTTTTTTTTTTTTACTAAATCAATTTCTACTCTAAAGTACTTAATAAAAAGTGTGAAAGAAAAACAAAATTCATTTTCCATGTCTTTTAAAATTCAATAGTCAAATTTTGCTTCCAGGTTAGGTTACGCCGCCTATCCAGGCACCATAGAGATATTAAGCTATTATTGTTTCTTTTTTCTTTATATAATAGGATTACTATAACCTGAGTTTTCTCTATCAAATTTAAGTGCTTCTTCATGTAATCATTAAAATTCAGTATATTATGTAAATGTTTATTTTGATGAATTTATGTAAGTATATATATATATATTATTCTCTGTTAAACAGCTTGTAAAAACGGTAGTCCCAGATCAAGTAAGAACAACACGAGATGAGACACTCGGAGATCACCAAGACAATGGTACAATGCAAAGACTACAAGTATCGGAAGGTTTTGTCTGGGATGTAGAAGGTCCTATTAACCTCTCTTCCCTAATTGCAAAAAGTACTGTAATTTCTAGTAGTGACAGTGATGAGGAAGAAGAGAAAAAGAAGTAAGGAGAAGGAAAACAAAAAACAGAAACGGGAAGAGGAACAGAAAGAAGAAGAAGAACTTTTTAAGGTGTGTGTTGTCTTTGATTGTTTTAAAGTTATCTTTGAAAGGAAAAGCGTTTTTTTGGCATCTATTTTTTTTGTGATGAATTCAAAGCCTTTCCTACAGAGCATGTGGTTTTTGGCTATTCTGTATTCACACTAACTACAAATTATTAATTTTTCTGTTCATCAGCTTAGAACTTGCTTTTGATTTTACATATGAATGTAGTACAGAATGCAATGTATTGAATAGTAAATTTTCTTAATGTACTACTACAGCATGCTAAAAGTTTAAATTGATAAAAACAGCATAATGTTCAATTTTTGCTGTTTAGTAAGATTTCTTTTTTCTTCTTAGATGCATTGTTTGTTATGGTAATTATTTGTTCTCAATTTCATCATCGATGGCACTGTTTGGAGAAATCAAATTATGAAAACATATAAATTAGTTTAATCTTTTATCACCTAGTTTAGTTATCATGATCTAATGAAATTCTAGTAGTATGACAGTATGATAGTTTATGGAATGTCATCACTTCTTGTAATTTACCATTAGAATCTAGTAGAAATAAAAATGAACATTAATAAAACATTATATCCTTTCTGGTTGTTCAAAATTCACAATTTTGTCTTTAATACAAATTGAATACTTTGTTACTTTAAATGAATTTTAGGCAGTGTATGATATAGGTTGTACTGTATTTGAAGTTTTATGTGTTCCATGAGGTTGAAGGTTAAGAATGAATGATATTTCAGTCTTTGTGAGGAGTTTGTAAAAATTTCAAATCTGGTACTATGTTTTAATAGAAACAAAGCTTTGTTCATTTACTACAAAAATAATTAAAAGTAGAAATTGAAATGTTTGTTTAAATTTGGTTTAGCTAATCAGAACCTTGGGCCTTGTCTCAGAGTTGTGGGACAATAATCTGTTGAGTGGCAGATTTTCTGTGGCTATCCATTTTTTTAACATTTCGTACAGTGGTTTTTGTAAAACACAGTTTCACAGGGGATAGTTAATTTTCCATTGTGCTCATCCAGTTTTTGCATTTTCTATGAGCAGGATTGAACCCGGAATTTTTCACATTCTAGATAAATATTTTTAACTCAAAATATTGTATTCTTTCCCTGTCACAAACATGGCTTAACCTTGTACCCAGTATTTCTGTGATAATCTAATTTTTTTATTTCCTCAGCTTGACATTGCCCACGAGACCTCTTACACAGTGGACTGAATTTGGTAACTTTTCACAAGAGGGATGCAGTATTTGCAAGAGTTATATGATCTTAACACAAAAACCTAATTAGCTGAATGAGTTTGGTAATTTGCACAGGAAGTATATAGGAATTACAAGATTCATGTGAAGTCAACACAAAAATGTAATTACTAGTAGATTGAGTTTGGGAACTTGCACACGAAGCATGCAGGATTACAAAATTTATATAATCTTAACACAAAAATTTAATTATGCTTGTAGATTGAATTTGGAAAGTCACACAATAACCGTGTAGGAATTACAAGATTTACATGACCTAGACACAAAGATTGAAAGTAACCCTACTATCTTGTGTTAGTAAGGCACTTTTGAACTATCACATTTTTCCTTTCCCACAGAGAAGGCCCATCCTTGGACCTTGTCTCAGAGTTGTGGGACAATAATGTGTTGACTGGCAGATTTTCAGTGGCTATCCATTTTTTTAAATTTCTTTAACTCGGTATAGAACCTTAGCCCTCTTGCATGCCAGATGAGACAAAGTGCTTTATCAACTGACCCTAAAGGGTTGATCCAAAATAGTAATTAATAATTAGACACTTTTTAACAACTCAAAGTATTACACTAGACACATTAAAAGTAGAAACCAAAGTTTAGCCAATCAGAAATAAAACTATTGTAAGGTTTTATAGAGAGGCAATATGTGAAGTCACAAATACCCTACCAAACTTTGTTAAGGTGATGTCATGGGCACAATGAAAAATAAGATAATTTTATCTGTCATAGTTAACCCATTTTTTAAAATTTTGCCTTCCTTTGAGCTGTTTATAAACAGAAATAAACCATTTTCCTTTTTTAATGTTACAATGATGTCATCAAAAAGGATTTGACACAAATAAAGTTTTTAACAGATAGTGCTACATTTCTATATTGTCATTGTTCTCATTATCAATTTTAATAATTTTCTTGTTTTTATTTTATAAAGTTTTTGTTATTGAAAAAAGTTTCATTCTACAAATATTTATTTCCAGACAGAACGTATGTTGATGAATGAAGAAAGAGAACCAGACACAGTGGAAGATTTTGATCGACTCGTGCTATCCTCACCAAACAGTTCCATTGTTTGGCTGAGATACATGGCCTTCCATTTGCAACAAGCAGAAATTGATAAAGCTCGGGCTGTTGCAGAAAATGCATTAAAAACAATTTCTTTTAGGTTTGAATTTGATTTTTATTTTAGATTTGAATCTAGTTAAAACTAACAACAAGGGACCATGGTTTGTGGGTCTAAGTTTACTGAATAGCAGCTTAAGCATATCTAACTGATTTATTTTTTTTTGTGTGTGTGTTTCATATTTTGTGTATGTATCATTATGTTAATTTTCATAAGTTATCTATTTGTTTATTTTGTTTAACCTAGAGGATATTTAATGAATTTGTAGTGTTTTTAAAAAAGATTGAGATATATGTTATTACTTTAGAAAGGGATACAAACTTGCTGTGGTTATTATGAAAGGAAGATAGTGAGTCTTTTAACTTTTGAGAGTTTTACATTTACCCTCTAACAAGACTATTGATAGATATTGATAGATTAATAGCTTAACCAGTGAGACTTCTATCAGCTTTTTAAACACATTTTTATAAGCTATATGCACCAAATTCCTTGTGGGTTTCTGATCTTGTTAGTTGCAGGGTCCCTGATAACATATGAGTCATAAAAAATATTTGAAAATCCCATCAGTAATTTAGTTAATCCAACTTGTTACTACTGGGATCCTCTATGCATTTTACAAAGAAAATAAATGATTTGGCTAAATTTTTTTGGTCAGTTCTTTATACTGAGTATTGTAAGAGACTAAAACAAAACTACTTAAAAATGGTGCAGAATGTGAGCTCTACTGTCTTTCTTTTTGGTTTTGTAATTTGTAGAGTAGCATGATTAGATAGCAAGTAAGGCCATGATGTCAGAATTTTTTTCCCATTTTTATATGCTTTAAATTTAAGTGATTAAACAGATTTTTTGAAGAACTTATCGGTATTAATTTTTGCAGACATTTATTTTTACTTAGAATTTTATATTATGAAATATCTCACTTAAAGCTTGAGAGTGATGTTGATGTCTAAAACTTTCACAGAGAAGAGCAGGAGAAGCTAAATGTGTGGGCTGGTTTCTTGAATCTTGAAAATCTCTATGGGACACAAGAGTCATTAATGGCAGTTTTTCAGAGAGCATTGCAGCAGAATGAACCCATCAGAGTCTTCAACCATCTTGTCAACATATATATGAATTCTAACAAAACAGAGGTAATTGTTGGATGAATCATTTTAGTTCAGGAAATTAACTTTCATGGTGTTTCAAATAACTAATGTTCAAGTCTGTTTGGAGTTAATTCTTTTCTTATTTATAATTAACTTAGAAGATTCCATATCATTAGATGGTTTCCAAATAATGTAATATAGAACTTACCAACCAGTATAAAAATAGAGTAGGTTGAATTGAATATCATAAATCTTGCAAATGTTCTTCTTGGGCATGCCGTTTTTAGCTAACTTCAAAGTATAACATGTTTTAGAGACAAAACATTTGGTGAGGTTTTTTATTTTACTTCTGGTTGACTTGAATGTTCTTTTTACATCGAGCAAATAAATTACTGCAAATAAATTAAGAAATGTGAAGAAGTGCAATAAAAATAAAGATTTAGGTTGTTAGCTTTGTTGTGAAGAGATAAAATGAAGAAAAGTTATAATTTAGTGATTTATGCTTTTATATAAGTGCATAGTTTGAAATTTTCTTGTATCTTGTTAAATGTCCTTAGGAAGTGGAACAACTTTATAACACAATGGTAAAAAGGTTCCGTCAAAATAAAGAAACATGGATCAACTTTGGTACATTCTACATGAAAACTGGACGTCCAGAATCAGCTCGCAAGTTGATGCAACGCAGTCTAAAGAGCTTAGACAAAAGAGATCGTGAGTACAGCCCATTGCAATTTATCCTCGTTTGTAACAAAGGATAAGAATTTGTGCTTCTATTTTTTTCTCTTAATGTAACAAACATTAAAAGTGCAATAAAAATACATAAAGATACTTTGGTGCTGATTGATTAAGAAATGTGGAATTACATAAGGAACAGATATACACACACTTATTGACGTTTATTTATATAGATAGTTATTAAAAAATGATTATAACATTTTTTTGGATAATGTGAATATTCTAGGATTCCTGAAGCCTCACATGTAGATGAATGATGGACAGTTATTTACAAAACTTTTTTTTTTACTTTTGAATCATAAAGGCCCCCTCACATTTGACTTTAAAAATATCTAAAGATATAAATCTATAATAATTGGTAAATTAATGTGTAATTTCTAATGTTAACTTATGACTTTAGTGAATACAAAACATTTAACTAT